AGCACATGTAGTGTAAACAGGGCTTCTTCATAGGTTTGCTTTCTCACAGAATTCCTCCTCTGACTTCAAGTTTTCAGTTTTGAGCATGATTTTAAACACATAGCTCTATTAGTCCCAAAAGCACAAATATTTTGATTTCACAACCTGAAATAAAAAAAAAAAAATCCTCATTTTTAAAAACACACGTCCAAATTTTGTGCTCCTATGCAGAAGCCCCGTGTAACAAAAAAAAGAGACTATTTCTTCCTCTCATTCCTCATCTTCAGCGGGTTGCCTTCACTGCTTCAGCACAGGCAGCTCTCTTGGCTTAAAGAAGGCCTGAGCCATCCCCATGGCGAAGATGTACACCCTAGCATCCACCATTATTTTTTCCTTCTGCAACAAATCTGTGGGGTAAAATGAGGGAAGCTCATATTAGGCTTTAAATTCTTACAGTCTGAATGCTTGCACAAACTTTAGTGTGTGAAAAAAGTCGCACCGTCTATTTTGGTCTGGAACTCGTCAAGCGGTAAAAGAATAACTTCGACAAATTCTGGAAGGAGAAGATCAATGAAATGGTCACATGGGCCTTTATGTCTGAGGGCTACTTAAAAAGGGAACTGAAACATGACTCACCTCCATCATCTGTGGGGGGGAAAAAAACAACACAAGAGAACAAGATTAACATAATGATATTGGCTTTTTAAGAAGCATAAAAAAAAGGGAAGACTGAGTTTCTCTTCATGTTTTAGGACATAGGTGTCAAACTCCTGCAGCCTAATTACATTTGGCCCGCAAAGCCATACCAAATTACTATTTGAGCTGGCGTACTGGTATTATACAGCTAATATATATATATTGTTTAGTATTAAGCTTTGCTTGTTCCATATTCAGTTTTCCAGCAAAACCTATTTGAGTCCATAAGAAAAGATTCATTCTTATATCTGGAGGAAGATTTTTTTTCCAATAAATATTAATGTTAGCCCGCGACTTTGTTCCAGTTTTGAATTTTGGCCCACTGTGTATTTGAGTTTGACACCCCTGCCATAAGTCATTGTTGATTTTGTCTTCACTCTCCATCTCCTGCCAAGCTGCACCTGAGATTCTGCGGCTGCTCGCTGATGAGCTGACAGATAAGATCTTTTCTTATCCTCTGCATCCTTACCCTATCACCTCTGCCTCCCACAGGGCGCCAGCCTGCCCTGTTGAAACACTATTTTTTTTTTTCAGTATTTCAACTGAAAAAAATAGAATGCCATTGATCAAAAATAGAATGCCTTTGATCTCTTGTGATGTCATCATCTTGCTGAGAGAAAAAACCCTTAAATAGGAGCTTTGCTCTGTTAAACTTTGCTGCTCAA